ACTCGGCCTGGCGCGGCTCGCCCGCGGGCCGGACTTTTGTTAGCGCCAGGCGCCTCCTCTCGCCGCCCAGCGTCAATCACAGCTGGAGCCCGGGGGAGGAAGGCCGGCCCGGAGATGCGCGGCCTTTTAAAGGGGCAGCGCGCTTTTTCGGGGCTCCGGCTTCCTGCCCAACCTAGGCGCAGGCTCTGCGCGCCACCCAAGAACCATCTGGAGCGAAGGAAGGCGCGGCGGGCTCTGGTTTACTATTGTTCTTTTATAAGCTTGGCCCCGTATTTGTCTACGACCTTCCAGACGTCGTTTGAAATCCCTTGGGTGTGTCTGCAAGTATGCCCCATCTTAGGTGTGCGGGCATTTAAAGTCAACCCGCACCGTGTCGGGTTCTGACATATTTCTCTTATGGATGCTGGCATTCTCCTGTGGCTCTATTGGAGCTTGGGGTCTGGTGGGAAGAGAAGGAGGGAAAAGTTGAGGCGAACTTAGCAAAGAGTTGGTCCCTGAGAGCCACGCATTTCCCCTCCCCAGTGAAGTTTTCTTGGTCAGAACTTTTAAGAACTTCCGAGTCAGGGAGTGTGTTTTCTCCAGATTTCTATGCCCCCCCACACCACCTTTGGTTGATGTTATCCTTTGTTTAATACATTACAAGCGCTTGTGGAGATTTATATAGCACTTGTAGAGTCTTAAAATGGTCTTTTGGCGTTCCTGCCACTAAATAGGAAAAGGAAATCCTTCATGTTTTCTTTCCTTCCCACGTAAATACCTAGAATTTTATAGCATGGCATCTAGACTGACCAGGATATTTATCACGAGAATTCTTTTCTAGGGAGGCAAGCATGCAGTTTTAGTTTCTCCTTACAGGTGTTAGATGTTGCAAATTAAACGTATATAATGATGCGTGCACACACACACAGAGTCATGGGTCCTTTACCAACAGGAAACGTTCTGAGAAAAGCATGACAGAGTGATTTCTCTTTGGTGCAAACAACACAGGCGGTATCAGCAAGCTACACACTAGGCTCTATGATATGGCCCTTGCCCCTTATAGGACCTCAGTGATACATGCCGGCCGCCTTTGTCAGAACATCCTACGTCAGGGACATGAATACAGGCATGCCTGACCCTACAGTATTTGACTAGAGAACCATTAATTTCGCAATGAACTATTTCTTTAAAAGGCTTGGGACCACGTGAAGAAATTGTTAATGATTTGACTTCCTATAGATTCTATTTGGATAATTTTCTATTTGCTTTCCTAAAAATAAGATGTCATTCTCAAATTTTAAAAATCTAATGTCATGTATTAAAGGAAAAAATGATTCATCTATTGTCAAAGACAGTCGTAAATAGTTTTGTGTTATACCAATAACACTTCCACCGTCCCAGGCCAAAGAGATGACAGACTGTATCGTGATTCACTTTTTACTATATAGTACCTATTTATTGCCTGCCAATAATTTGTGCTTCCCAAGTGTCTTTTGAATTAAATTAAAACTTGCATTATAAGATAACGGACTCCACTTGAAAGTGATCTAGAAAGGAGCTGACATCTACTTTATCTTTGTTCAATAATGAGTTTCTGCTCACCTGGTCCTTGTGGCTCTCTGTCACCATTTAGGGAGCTACCCTAGAGCTTTTCATTTAGAGGGGCTTGCTGAAGGTAAACTAGTTGCAAATGAGTAGACCAAACAAAGCTCTCTTGATGTTTCATGTAGAGTTGACCATTTGCTTTTTTTATTTTTTCTTTAGTTTGTTCATTTCTTTTTTTTTTTTTTACGAGAGAGGGAAACAGGGAGAGAAAAAGAGGCACCCCCAACCAGGTCTTCACACTAGGATCCATCCTCATGGAGGCCAACCCGGATCACAGCACACTGGCAAGCACCCAGATCCCTCAGAGAGGTCCCTGCTGTGAATCTGAGGTCTTTCCCATGTGAGTCCAGTCACCTTACTGCTGTGCTACCTCCTTGCCCAGTAACCTCCTTTCCTGTATACTCTAACCCCAGCTGCTCTCAGTCCCCCTTTTTTGGTCTATAAATCAGGACAGTGATGGGGGAATAAAAATAAAATTAAATTAAATAAATTAAAAAAGCTCAAAATGTAAATGTCTAAAGTCACAAAATTTAAATGTCTGGGTGATAATTCCCATGTGGATCCAGTTTTTTAGGTGCTCTCCTCGCTCCGCTGCCTCTCTAGGCCTGTACTCCTGTTCAACTAGGAGTTACTATCTTCTATTTTCAGTTGGGTCACTTTTCATTGTCTTTAATATCAAAATAAAGCCAACAGTGAATAAGTAAATTGCAGTGACCAACTACATTTATCTTTCAAACTGAATTCTATAAATACTTTTCAGGGGTCTGTTGCCTGCCTTAATGAGAAAAAAAAGTGAGCCCATTTATGATGTTTCAGTTTAAGACAAAATAGAAAAAAAAAAACTCGTTTTTAACATTCAGTGATTATAGAGTTGATTTAAAAAATAAACAAACAAACAAACAAACCAAAAAAAACCTCCACACAGTAGCCTAGTCAGTGTAAACGCTTAGGAAAAAAATATATAAAAAGAAATAAAAATACTATTTCTGGTAAAAATAAAGTATTTATGTGTGTATATATTTCAATTTTCAAAATTAAATTATTCTATAAATACAAAAATTTTGGAGAGTTTTTTGTTTTGTTTTGTTTTGTTTTTAGGGCACGTGCGCTCGCCAGAAAGAGAGATAGAGAGACAGAAAGCAAGAAATCATCCTCCAGGGGGGATGGCCATGCCGCAATCCCTTCTCCTCCATTCTTCTCTCAGGATCTTAGGCACGCACACACACAAGCCCGGCGTGAGTTTAAGCCACCAGGTCCGGGACTCAAACCGTGGTCAACTACATGGGAGTCCAGCGACATAGTCGTTATGCTAACTGCTGGTCCCTATAAATACAAAAATTTTAACCCCAAACTCCAATCTTTTTACCCTGCTTCCAAACTCAACCCCAGTTTTCAATATATTTCCCAGGTCTTTGACACAGGCATGGTGCGTTTTTCACAACCAAAAAAACCCTCCACACAGTAGCCTAGTCAGTGTAAACGCTTAGGAAAAAAATATATAAAAAGAAATAAAAATACTATTTCTGGTAAAAATAAAGTATTTATGTGTGTATATATTTCAATTTTCAAAATTAAATTATTCTATAAATACAAAAATTTTGGAGAGTTTTTTGTTTTGTTTTGTTTTGTTTTTAGGGCACGTGCGCTCGCCAGAAAGAGAGATAGAGAGACAGAAAGCAAGAAATCATCCTCCAGGGGGGATGGCCATGCCGCAATCCCTTCTCCTCCATTCTTCTCTCAGGATCTTAGGCACGCACACACACAAGCCCGGCGTGAGTTTAAGCCACCAGGTCCGGGACTCAAACCGTGGTCAACTACATGGGAGTCCAGCGACATAGTCGTTATGCTAACTGCTGGTCCCTATAAATACAAAAATTTTAACCCCAAACTCCAATCTTTTTACCCTGCTTCCAAACTCAACCCCAGTTTTCAATATATTTCCCAGGTCTTTGACACAGGCATGGTGCGTTTTTCACCAATGAGCTTCCAATATCTGACATGAAGTAGTCAGTAAATTTTTGCAGAATTAATAGGTGAATGGCTATTGAACAAAGAGATGAAATTATTTGAATATTTTTGCACTTTCTGTGTCTCTGACTTTTTAAAGCCACAGTCACTGAAAAGGTTTTCTTTTTTTTTTTTTTTTTTTTTTTTTGTTTGGGGGTATTTAAACCCTCT